ACAAACAAATAAAAAAACCCCCCCCCCCCAAAATACAGTTTATGTTCTTATAAAATATAAAAACAAATATAATTTCACTTTTTTTCTCTCTTGATTTTGGAGTAAAATACTGGTTAGACATTTCTTTGTAGAATTCATTCAAGAAAACAGGAAGACAACAAAGAAAGATTGTAGAGACCAGCAGAGAAAGCAGCTCTTAGCATGCTGTTATGCGGTTGCTAGGGTGTTCTGAGTGGTTGCTAGGCAGTTGCTTACTGGTCCAAGTCAAAAGAGCCCACCCCCAGTCTCTATGATATTCTGGTCTTGAGTTATCAAGACTCGATTCCCTCCTTCAAGTCTGTGGGATTTTTAACCCGCTTAATTGTTCTGCTGGTATAAAGATTGTAAGTCTGATGTCTCAGAAAAGTAATAACACAAATCTCCTCAATAATCATAATGATGATTGAGGTATCATGCACAGATGAGCAATGAGCCAAAGTTCGATATCTAGAGCAACAGTAATAGTAATGTGTGACTTATCAAACACTGCTAATTTAAATAACAATATGAATAACTAAAAATAAACCAAAGAGCATTAAAAATAGGAGAGAACAGTGTTAAAATGATAGGAGGCAAATGATTTACTCAAACGGCACCACGCCCCCTTCCTTCTCTACAGCGTTTGTGTTTGAGCAGAGAGGAGGGGAGGAGAGAGGAGGAGAGAGAGGGAGGAGGGGTGAAATGGGGCTAATTATCATTGGAGGTAAGCTGCAAACAACAAGCACGCTGTCAGCAGAGACAAACCACATGACCTGCGAAAACAAAGCCATTTCTCAACACGCATGTGTGCGTGTATGAGCTTATCTTTCAGACTGGCTGATGCTTCAAGGTATCTGTATTCATTTTGCATCAGTGTTAGAGCTTCGAGAGAGGTGCGTGTGTGTCCAAGGCTGGAGAGCGTGAGTGTGTGTATGTGCTTTATTTAAAGCTGCAGATGCAGCATCACCATCCTTGTGTGAGCAGGTGTTAGAGACTGTGTGCTTAGCGTGTATAAGCAAACATCTCCCAGCATGCATCTAACTACACTGCCTTCCCTCTATGCTTAACTGTACTAGCATAGCGCGTGTGTTTGCCTTATGTGCTGAGCGTCTGTACACCTATTTACACACACTCCATCTTACCAATAAAAAAACATG